AAAGAGGGCCCACATGACTTACTAAGTTGGCCTAAATTCATGGAAAAATTCATATTGATTTTAATGACAATGGCCAACCAATTGATAAGAAGAAAGGAAACATCTTTAAGAGTTTTGTGGGTTTTGGTGGCATGTCAAAAAATCAGCATCTTGGAGGAAGAGTAGGATGATGTTAATGAAAGTGATAGAAATAATGTTTAAGAATCTACTAGTATTTCCTATTGCTATATGTTACATTTATTTTTTATTTTGAAATATATGTTGTTACTAAATTCATTATTGATATGTATTATTTTGTAAATTACTTATGACATCAAGGAAACTCCATTTTTAAAGGACAGGTGATTAAAGTATGTTTGGGACCGATGGAGGGACTTTAAGTAAAGCTTACTAGAAAATATGTCTTTCCTAAGAATTGCAACAAAAATGATGATAGTGACAATGATGCCATCACGGAAAAACCTTGGGAGAAATATCCATTCATTAATTATGACACATGGATAAAATTTGTTCATAGTAGACACAATCCTAAGTTTTTGGTAAGTAAAGGAACAATATGATAATTTATTTAGTGTCGGTGAAGATTTATTTTTAACAAATGCTTTTCATTATTTGTTAATAGGAAAAAAGTCAAAAAGGTCAAGAGTGTTGAAAGAAAAATCTATACAACCATACTATGTCTCAAGAAAGGTACACAAATATCTATGATATAATGAATCAAGAGAAGTGGGAAGCTAAAAGACAAGCAACAAGAGTTGATAATATTGAAGACGTTTCTCCTCCATCTCTTGTTAATCGTGCTTAAGCATGGAAGAGAGGATGGATGAATAAAAAGGGAGAGTTTATTTCCCCAGAGGCTAGAGAAGTAGCTGAGAAAATTGTAACTATTTTTACAGTCAATATCTTAATCATATAATTTAAATTTATTACTTACATTGGTTCTACTTGCTTGCATGTTCCAAGATGCTTTTATAGAAGAACCATCCAAGGGGACCTTTATGTCTAATGGTAGAAAGGACATATTGACCACAGCTTTAAGGAGTAAAGAGCACCCTGGTCGTGTCAAGAGATTCCAAAAGGTATGGGTATAAAACAATATTTTGAACCTCCACCTTCTAATCTTGTATCAATCCAGCAAGTACAAATGGCGATAGCGGAATGCAAGTCAAGCATGATAATGGAAATGCAATCAATGATTAGTAATTTGCAAATGCAACCACAACAAACACTGAATTATGGTGATGTTACAGATCCAGTGTGTGATCTTAGTCTATCAGATCAAGGAATGCCATGCATACTTTATGTGAAGGATCATAGAAAATGAGTAGTTGTATATGGAAAGGTGTATAATCATACAACTACAGTCCACTATAAGTAGATATAACATAATCAAGTAAAGGTGATAGTTGAAAAGGTTGTGGATGCTAATGCTCTTATACTATTTCCTACTGTAGAGGTGGAAACAATAGGACAAGCTTAATATAATTTCATTATTTGGTTGAAAAAACTAGTTCAACAAGTTACTGAAGAGGTATGAAAAATGTTACAATTTTTTATTTTTTAATTAATAACATAGGTATTTTTAATTTTTATTATATATTAATTATAGGAACTCCCACAATCAAAAGAATCTTTGGGTTCCAATCCCCAACCGATGCAAGATGATTTGAAATGATTGGCTTCAGTGATGGTTAACATGAATGAATAATCTGATGAAATAAATGTAATCGAAAAGATTATTGGGAAGCTTATTACTTTTAGAGTTGCCAAGAAAGATATTAGAGACCTCATTATTTTTGAGTGGTTGGACTTGTCAATAATTCAAGTTTTTATCATGTAAGTATTCATTTTTATTTCTATATTAATATTTGATATTTTTATTTTATTGCTAATGTATGTCTAATTATCAAAGGTACCTCCACAAGATATGCACCGAACTCAGTGTTGATGAGAATTATGGGTTTTTATCTCTACTTTTAACCTCCATTGGCAAAATAAATCAAAGAGCTTCTTATATTAGAAAGAAAATGTGTAAGCAAAACAAGAGATGCTAGTTTTTATCAATTATTGAGAGGTATCAAATGTTAAAATTTGTCACTCAATTTATAAAAAAAATTCTTAATAATGTGATATTAATATAAACTAATATATTATAGTCATCATTGGATACTTCCTGTCATTTATCCGTATGAAAATACTATATACTGGTTTTGTTCACTGAAAAGGAAAGTAGGCGACAACATGAAGTTTTTGATTGAATTGTAAGTTTTTAAATAATTCTATTGTGTTATTAATAATATATATTTAATATTTTTTAAGTGTGTATATTTGATAAATAGATCTTTAGCAACATACTGAAAATTAGCAGGAATGGTTGACAAGAAAAAAAAAATTGAAATCAAGTTTGTACCAATGCAAGTAAGTATTTCAAATTTATTCCTTAATTAGAATGAAGATTATAATATTGATTTAATGAATTTAATTATTTCTATTTTCTTTATAGTATCCTCAACAACCAAGAAGTATAGAATACGGTTATTATGTGACGTTTTTTTATGTATGAAATCATCACTCAAGGTATTGTTCACTCATTTGATCAAGTAATAACTTGTAAATAACAATTTATAATTATGAAGTTTTTCATATACTTGAGTTATTATTCATGCGTATATTTTTATTGAATTTGCAACACTTCCAAAGTTTAGAGTCATATTCTAAGCAAGAGTTGAGACATATACATAATTTGTGGTCTAGTTTTTTCTTAGAATTAATAGGATTAGAATAGAAACTTTCTAGATATTTTGTATTGGAAATGTAAATTTAGTTCGTATTTGTTCACCAAATATATTTGTATTGATCTTTGGAGCTGCTGTTTCTTAATTAATGAAGGTTTTGTAAGTAAGGGATGTATATAGATATAAGTGTACAAGTAAAAAAATATACAGTATTTATTGCTACAATTATTACAATAATTGTGGTAAAAGTCATTTATGGTAACAGTTGTGGATAAAACTATGGCCATAAATGATCTTTAGATAATTTTTTGCCACAGGTGGTTTCGAACCTGTGGTGAAAGATAAGATCTTTCATCACAACTCTAAACCCACCTGTGGTGAAAAATGATATTTTTCGCCTATTTTTTGCCATAGGTAGGTTCAGACCTATAACGAAAGATGAGATCTTTCGCCATAGGTCCGAGACTACCTGTGGTAAAAAATATCATCTTTCGCCACAAGTCCGAGACCATCTATGGTGAAAAATGATATTTTTCACCATTGTGTTTTTCACCATAGGTCAGATGGGACCTGTGGTGAAAAATATTATCTTTTGCTACATTTTCTTTTGACCTGTGGTGAAAAATGTCTATTTACTACTACAGAATCTTCTACTACACAGCATCTTTTGTCGCCAAAAATGTATTTTAAGTTTAGGAAAAATTAATTTTACACTAGTGTTTAAGCTACAGGGCATCCTTTTTTAAGAAGGAAAAAGGGTACAATAAGAGATAAAATATTATATATATTAGTGTCTCACATCGATAAGGAATAAAAGAAAAGGCCTTCACTTTAACTATAAATATCCCCTCTATGAAGAAGAAAGTCATCCAATCACTTATTCGAGTATCTTAAGAATTCTCTTTGAGATATTTAGTGCCTGTAGAAGAATTCTAAAAGCTAAAAGCGAGATCGTTGAAGTGTTCTACAAATCACAATTATTTATTTTCTACTCCTTGATTTTCTCTGTGATCATTTTTCTAATTGAGAATTTTAGAACAACGTTATTTGATTTTATTATGTGTTTCTAAATTACCTAGCTAGAGTAACGATGTAGCCCAATTGGGGAGCTAATTTTTTATTTTCTTTATTTTAACTCTTTGCATTTATATTTATGAATATTTTTTATTTTTTTTAATTATATTTATTTCTCTTACTCTTCATGTTGATTTTATGATTGGCAATCATTTAATCAAATTGATGGGTAATCTTGATAGACTGGGAGGTGAAAAGAAAACTTAAATCTAGAGAAATAGACATAAATAATTAGGTTAGGTATAGTTCTAGAAATTTGTGGTAACTTAAGCTATAGCTTCATGATTTAATTAGTTGTTTAGATATCATGAGAATGAATTCAAAGCTAATTAAAAAGGGACTAATAGTTTAGAAAAATATTAAGATTCTTTAAAAATAGTTATTACTATAATTGATTAAAGAGTTAATTCAAAGGGTGGAAACTAGCGACCTATAAGATGAATCCTAAACTCTAATACTTTAAGTGATTGTGTTTTCATCAAATAATCCATTTTATCTATTTTTCTCAAACTATTAATTATTTAAATTAGTAAAAGCACAACTTCCTTATGGATTCAACACTTAGAATACTCTAGATAATTTATTACTATGATTTTGTACACTTAAAAATGCAATCAAGTTTTTGGCACCATTGTTGAGGAAGTTACAAATTTACTAACTACTTAATTTTTAGTTCATTTTAATTTTAAATTTTAAATTTTTTCCTTATATTTATTTTTATGCAACTAAGAAGTTCTGGAAACTTAAATTTAATTTCTATTAATATAGAAATTGAAAGGTTTTTGTAGGAAAAACAAATCTCAAAGAAGAAGAAAGATAGGTGACAAAGCTATTCCAAAGCCACCTATTAAATTTAGAGATACTTAATGCCCATTCATTACATCTAACCTGTCATGCATGCACTAGAGTGCATAATTATGAATTTAAGAATATTTACTTAAATACGCTACCTAATTTCAAAAGGCACTGAACTGAAGATGCCTTGGATTTTATATGAGAATTTTATGCAGTAATTGATACATTACTGCTAAATAATCTATCGGATAATGATTTAAAACTGTGTTGCTTTCCTTACTATTTAAAGGGAGAAGCTTGTCAATGGCTTTTACACTTACCAAAAGCTTCCATAACTCTTGGATGGGGATTTATGAGCAATTTATATAGAAATATTATTCTCCTCAAAAGACTTTAGAATTAAGGAACAAAATCCACTTTTCACACAGTAAAATGGTGAATTATTTCATAAAGCTTGGGAACGTTATAATCTCCTCATAAGCCAATGTCCCCATCACCAATTTCCACATATACTCTTAATTGATTTTTTTTATGATAGGCTTAATGCTAAATGCCAATCATGTCACACCCCAAAAATAGAGGGTGACCGACACAAGATGTGAATAACCATACATCTCTTAAGACCATAGAGACAATGGGTTGATGTATCACTTCAGTTGGGCTGGAAATGTTTCTTTGATGTGTAGGATTTTTAACTTCTCAATCTTTTTGCCTTTTACTGAGCTAGCTTGGCCTTTCATCTGATCTTGGAATGTAGTTTCATACCCTAAACCTCAACGCATATGATTTTCTTACAACTTGATTGGCTGATTGATACCTTACAACTGCATGCCCAATCCTTTCTCGAGTTTAAATCCACTTTTCTTCATGATTTTAGCTATAACAGAGTTAACATTCTCAAGATCTTTTGTAGGACCTTCAATCTCAAGGTTCTGAAACATCATCCCATCTTCGTGATCAGTAGCTTTAATATATAGGAGGGGGCTTGGTTTGCTTACCATAATCTCTTCTTCCCTTTTAATAGTGACAATTCTCCCATTGTGGATGAACTTAACCTCTTGATGAAGTGTTGAAGGCACCGCTTCAATAGAATGAATCTACGGGTGCCCTAACAACATGGTATAAGCCAGATCTATGTCCATTAATTAAAAGCCCACCATGAACAAGTAGGGTTTAATCTCTAATGGAAGTTGAACAGTGCCTAAAACTTCCCTCCTTGATCTATCAAATCCTCGAACTATCATGTTGCTACTTTCCACGATCGTTGTTTCCAAAGATAATAGCTCAAATGTTGCTAAAGGGAGGACATTTAAAGCTGAGCCTCCATCAATCAATACCCTGGCTACTACATATCCCTTACATTTTAAGGTGATGTGTGAGGCTTTTGATTGATGAATTGTCATTTTTATGATCTCTTCCTTAAAGAATGAGATGGTAGATGTATCTTTCACAATGTTCGTTATACTTGCCACCTTTTCTGGGGTTATATTGGGTTGTACATAAGCCCTATTCAAGATCTCTTGTAGTGCTTGTCAATGTGCTCAAAAGCTCAAAATTAGAGAGAGTACTGAGATCCCCGCAGGTGTTTTGTTCAATTAATTAACTACATGGTATTTACTGTGCTTCATAATCTTTAAGAACTCTTCATTAATCTTGTCAAATCCTTTTAGATTATCATCATTACAATCAACGTTCACTATTTTCCCCCTTGCCACCTTTCTAGCATCTTATGGTTGATATACTATCCCGCTTTGAGTGACCCTCTTGGGCTGTAATGTTTGTGACCTCAGCCTTTCCAGTCTCAATGACCATAGTTGAGTTTGATAAGCATTCTGTAACACCATCATATCTCTAAGGTACTGCTTTATTATTCTTATAAGGACATAGAGATGGCACGCTTATAGTCAATAAGGGTGGCTTAGCATCAGGATTATGGGGTGGCTTAAGTCCCTGCAGTGTCTTATTAATAATGAAGTATGCTATGTCAATCTGTTCTTTTGGAGCTGAATCTTTAATGACAAATTCAATTTTCCCTTTTTCCATTATGTAAACTTCTTTATCTTCTTTCTCTATGATCACAACTCCTAATAACATCAATTTCTTCACATCCTTTTTGAATTGTGGGCATCTTTCTATATCATGATCTATGTTCTTTCGATGATACTCACAGTATATTGAGTTAATTTCATTACATTCCTCCTCTGGGGTTCCCAACATATAGCCAACTACTTTTAAGTATTCAAAGAGTGCTTACATTCAAATCCCAATATCGACAAAGTTTCTTGAGAACCTCTTCTCTCCCTCAATAACATGTACTCTTCTTTTATGGTTAGGAAGAGGATTAGAGGTGACTGTAGAGTTTCTATTATTTTTGAGTTGAATATGGTTTAAATCAACCAAATCCATCATATTCCTCTTGAATGTGATGCAATCTTCTATGGAATGTCCTGGAGCATCCATATAATACACACACGTTACCTTGGGATTGTACCAGGATGGATAAAGTGGATGAGGTGGGCTATAGGGTATTCGGCCTAACAGTTGGGCTTCAAGTAATTTTTGATACAATTCAGCATTTGTCATCCCAAAATTTGGTCAAGGTTGACTATCCTTAGCTTGTGCATTTCGTTGCCCTCCAAATTGTCCCTGCCTATTAGGTGTCAACACTTGTTATACCTGTCTTTAGTTTCTTTCACCAAACTGGTAGGAAGCAGGTGACCTTGTGGAATATGAATTCATATGTTGGATATAGTTTACATTCCCCACTTTCTTTTTAGAGTCATACCCCTTTCTTGCACTCTCTCAACTTGAGAAGTAGCAATTTTATGTTCTCGTATGTCTGTATCAATTCTTTCTCCAATTCCTATCAAATCAGCGAAGTCATCAACATGTGTTCCCACTATGTACGAATGAAATAGGAGCAAAGTTTGAATTAGATCATAGGTGGTTGAACTTGTGAAGTCATCGTTCTCCGTCTTTGAGCATATTCTTTAAATGATTCTGTTGTCTTTTTGCTCATGGCCTTTAACTACTCCCTAGTAGGGGCGATGTTAAGATGGAATTTGTTTTGCTTCATAAAAATGTCTACAAGATCTCTCCATCTCTTGATCTTTGACTGGTCTAGTTGCATGTACTATGTTAATGCAGCTCCAATCAAACTTTCCAAGAAATTTATTAAAAATTTCTCATCTTGCGACCACACTGATATCTTCATACAATAAGTTCTTAAATGATAAATTGGATTACCGCTACTACTATTGTCACACCCGAAAAAATATGACACGGATGGCGTGAGAGCGGAGGTCTCGGCCTTCACGGCAGGAACCGGATCGAACGAGGAGTCGCCACCAAGATTTTGAGGAAAATCACGAGAAACCGTTTAATGGAGGATAAGGGTGATCTGCAAAATTAGAGAATAGGTTCGGGAGTCGGTTGAGTGTAGGGAAGGTGTTAGGAACCCCACAACACCTATTCATCAGAATGGTTACCTGAAGTTTGTTGTGCTCTATTAATATGGTTTTATAATTATTTTAATTATCCCTTTTATATTCATGTATTTGATAAAAATGATAAGAATTAGGTGAGAAATATTTATTTATTTACAAGGGAGGATGGACTTGACTCAGAATCTAACTCTGAGGCCTACATACCCTGTGATGGGGATCAAAGTCCACGTAGTTCGGGCTTAAAAGCTTGTTAGCGAAAATATTTTTTGAAGAGAAATTAATTAGAAATAATTCACCATTTTGCAAATAAAATAATTTCTAAAATTTTGATATGTGCATTTTAAATTGCAAAAGGTAATTTAATTTTAATTATTTTCTCCATTTTTGAATTTTTTGAATAAAGAAAAAAAAGGGTTTAAAATTATTATTTTTTTTATATTTTATGATTGGGAATTTTAACTGCTATACCTGTAGAGCCTTATTGGTTCATACGGTAATGTAATTATTCTAAGTATCTGTAGAGAATCCGAAATCTCACACGATAAAAGAATTTAGCATTTTATTTATATTTTTAAGTGTTAGTAATAATTTGTTTAAGTATGTATATACATGTTTTGAAAAATTTTAATCATCATACCTGCATAGCCTTATTGGCTTATACGGTAATATGATTATCCTAAATATCTGCGAAGATTTTAAAATCTCACACGAGAAAGGAATTAAATTTAAATACATTTTTAATGTGATTATATTAATATATAATTTATACATATTTTGAAAAACTTAATCGTTATATCTACAGAGTCTTATTGACTCATACAATAATACGATTATCTTATAAGTCTATAGAGATTTAAAAATCTCACATAACTAAAAGATATAATTGGTAAATATGATTACCATTTAAATACATTAATTTGGTTAATTAATTTTCTAAATTGTTTATTATATGATTATTTACAAATATCATTTATTATATATATTGAGAACCACTATATCTGCGAGGAATTATTATCCCACATGATAATGTGATTAATTTAAGTCTCTACAAAGATTCTTAAAATCTCACATGGGACTTAAATAAATTAGTGATTTAGATTATAAAAGAGAGTTAATATTAATGATGGGCCTTTGAAACTCATATAAATATATACAAGATTGATTCTCACGCCCGCAAAACCTTATTGATTTATACGGTATAAAATAATTTTAATCAGTTGTGGAGACCCATACGATTTTCACACAACCAATTTTTATTTAAGACATTTGAAGCTATGTCTATTATAATTTAAAATGACCTAGCAATTTTTATAATTATAGCTTAAGAAACAACCGAGTGTAATTTAAAAATGCCGTCCCCATAAGTTACCAACAACATAAGCAATATTAATTGAAGCTATCATTGTCAAACATCATAAAGTGAATTTTTTTTTAGGATTAATCACAAAGACTAATTCTTGAATGGTTGCAAAACAAGCACATGATTTTTAAAGAGAATAAACTCAAATCACTTTTTACTATCTAGAGCCACATATATGGTAATTAAATTAAAAGGTTTCACATAAGACACAAACATAAAATGTTTTCAACTATTTAATCCATCCAAACTCATGACCAAAGAAGAATGATTTCTACACCCAAGTCATATAAGAACAGTATATAAAACCTTTGCAGAGTTTATAAGCAGTAACTAGTCCCAGAGATTTACAAAATACAAGATGAAATGAAATCACCCATGAAATATTCCAAATGAAAAGGCAAATAAATCATGAAACCTGTGTAATGCTTCTTCCTCTTTTACTCTCTGAAAAACGCTGGTCCCCTCTCGGTTCGTTCTTCTTTGCTCTCAACCTTTTCTTTTCAAAACTTCCTCCCTCTAATTATACTCGCCTCTCTTAGTCTCTTCCTCCTCCTCTCTCAGTCTCTTTTATTCTCAAAAAATGCTCATTATCGTAGCCTTTTAGTTTCTCTCTTTTTCTCCAGCAAGAACAGTTCTTCTTTTCTATTTTTTTGTTTCTTTTTTTTTAGCCAAAACAGCCCTCTCCTCTCGGTTTCTCACTCTAGCCAGAACAACTCCTCCTGTCTCAGTCCTTTTTTTCATAAAACACACACTCTCCCCCTCCTCCGCTTGTTTCGGTCGTAAGCATTATATAGAGGAGGAAGGAAGAATGATTTACCGATTTCTCCTTTGGTCTCGGATTGCCATCCTTTTTTCTCTGATCATGTGCATCTTTTCCTTCATCTTTTCCTCTTCTTCTGCTGTGTGGGTTGCTTCTTCTTCCTTCACTTGTGCTTTCTTTGCCCGTCAAAAGCCTGCGTGCGTGTGTATCTCTGTTTCTTTTTTAATCTCTATACATGCTTCTATTCTTCTGTATGCTTTTCCCTTGCTCTTCAACTTTCTCTGCTGCGTGCTAGTTTGCTGCTCTGGTTTTCTTCTTCTCTCTACGTCTGAGCTTTTCTCCTTTTCCAGTGCTTCTCTCATCTTCCTTTGGTTGTGCATGTGTGCTTCCTTTTTGGTTCTATCATGTCTCTTCTGATCTTGTCATCTGCTCTAGCTTTCCTCTTCTCTCTGTGTTTGTCTTTTTCTTCTTTTTCCTTAACCTGTCTCGTCTTTTCTGGCTACGTGTATGTGTTTCTACTGCTATCTTTCTCTGCTACTTGTGACTTTTCCCTTTAGTGCTTGACCATGTGTGCTCATTTTGCTTTCTTTCTCTACTTCTTTTGTGTCTGCCTTTGTTTCTAGCTAATCTTGTGTGTTTTTATTTTGCTTCTTCTGTTTCTGTTGTATGGCTGAAAGTATATGTGCGTGTGTGTTCTCCTTTTTGTGTTGTGTATGTGTGCTTCTGCAGATTTCTTATTTCTCTCGTGTGCTCTGTTGGTCTATGTTTCATCCAGCCTTGCACTTCTTTTATCCACTTTTGCTGTAACGTGTGCATGAAGGACCCAACTCATTTTAATTTTTAATAACTCTTTTTTTTAATTATGTTTATTAATTTCAAAAATTAGATTAAGGGACTTAAAAAAATTGATTTTGGATTAAGCAAATATTTTTGAAAATATAATCTTAAAAAGAAAATATAATAACTCTTTTAAGAAAATATAATCCTGAAAATCCTAATAGCTCTTTTTTTAATTATGTTTATTATATTTTTTATATTTTGGTTATTTATTATTATTTAAAAAATGTCTGGACAAAATACGGTGTTCATAGTTGCCCCTCTTTACTTGTTTCTTATGTAAGTATATGAAAAAGTGTGTTTTTGAATTCTTACATAAGTGACAAGTAAAGATAGAACATGTATTTTGGTTGGCCATGCAATACCTATGAAAAGACCTAATTGCCCCTGACACAATAAGATATGATTAAATGCAAGACTATTGCGTAACAAACACAATGAAATGATTTTTGATAATTTTTTTATTTTTCTTAGCAATGTGACCAAATGATGCAAGACTATTGGATAACAAACACAATAGGATAATAAATTTTTTTGGTTTTAGTAGCGTGATGTGAATGAAAATGACTAAATGACAACGATCCAAACAAAATATATGTTGACTAGATGCCCCCCCTTCATTTGATTTCTAAGTGAGAATTTCATGAGATGATATTCTTATCTTAGAAATGAATGAAGAGAGAAACATGTATTTTGTTTGGAGGGCCAAGGCTCTTAGTTACCTACAACTCAACAAACAACAACAAAAATAAAATAAAATAAAATAAAATAAAACAAAGAAATAAATAAGTAAATAAAATAAAATAAAATAAATAGTTTAAAATGAAATGGGATTTAGGAAATAAACAAAACAAAAACTCAATGGAGATGAATTGCCTATATTCCAAAGGACCTGGTGGATGCGTGCCTTTACAAGGCTTGAAGGGTGCCTGCTGTGACAGGACTTTAAAGAATCATGCCAGCCGGTATTGGGCTTTGGGGTGCCTACCGTAATAGGGCTTTTAAAGAATCATACCAGTCGGTACTGGGCTTTAGGGTGCCTGCTGTAATAGGGCTTTTAAAGAATCATGCCAGCTGGTATTAGGCTTTGGGGTGCCAGCTGTAACAGGGCTTTTAAAGAATCGTCAGTGGTACTGGGCTTTAGGGTGCCTGTTGTTACAGGGCTTTAGGGTAGCTGTCGTTATAGGGCTTTAAAGAATCATGCTAGCTGATACAGGGCATTAGGGTGCCAGCCGTTACAGGGCTTTGGGTTGCTTGCCGTTATAGGGCTTTGAGGTGTCTGCCATTACAGGGCTTTAAAGAATTGTGCCAGCTGGTACTGAGCTTTAGGGTGCCTGCCATTATAGGGTTTTAAAGAATCGTGCCAGCTAGTACTGGCCTTTGAGGTACCTGCCGTGACAGGGCTTTAGGGTGCCTACCGTTATATGGCTTTTAAAGAATCGTGCCAGCTGATACTAGGCTTTAAGATGCCTACCGTGATAGGTCTTTGGGGTGCCTTCTGTAACAGGGCTTTTAAAGAATCGTGCTAGCCGCTACTGGCTTTGGGGTGCCTGCCATAATAGGGCTTTTACATAATCGTGCCAGCTGGTATTGGGCTTTAGGGATGTGAGAATAGGTTCTATCTCATGTGGAAAATATGAGAAACTTACGGGTGAGGTTTGTTATTTCTTCTCTTTCTTCCTCAATTTTTTTTATTTTGCTTTACCCCAATCTAAATGAGGTGTGTTTCTATGACAAGGAATGCAATATAGTAATGTACCATGTATGATTTTTCATGGGTGCTAAAAATATGTACAATATACCATGGATGGATGATTTGCAATGTAAAAAGGTTTGGACCTTTGTTTGTCTCAATTTATGAGACTTCTTTTTTTTATAATAAATGCAAAGGGTAAGATGTGCTTATTTGCCCCAATGCAAATGCATGGATAATGCAAATGTATTACAAAAAAATTTCATTAGAAGGCTTGATGTTGACAACTATCTTAATATATATATTCCTTTTTGAAAATTTTTGTGCATATTGAATAAACCATTTTGAATACAAGGTAATACCTCTAAGTCTATTATTTAACCTTTATTTATTAATATGTGTAGTATCACAATATGCCGTTGCCCCTCTTTAGAAAAATTCAAACGACCAAATTCTCGTCACTTGATCTGGCCTTCATGTTAATCAGATAAACTATTATGACCGAATACTGATAGCACACGTGCTCTCGTTATCATTTTACACCTATGCGATGATCTTGATACCTTAAGGGCCAAAAGTAAGAATAAAGATACTAGCATTCTACATCAAGTAAATGTATTAATAAATATTATTCCTTGAATGTGAACCTACTGTAATATATGAGATATGAATTCGAATATGATAACATGAAAAGAGAAGAAAGATGGTCTCAAAGGAGCAAGGGCAGAAAAATTCATTCACTAATGCCAAAATTCATAGAGAAATATGAATATCTTGGTTTATAAGTACAAATGGCTAAAGCGCAAATGGAATATGTGGATTTACTTAATCACATCTCTCTCCTTTCGCTTTTCAAAACCCCAATAAGTGCTTCACTAAGCTGCCATTGATATGCATAGTGTGAGAGATGATGGAGTCAACTTTCTCAAACATAGATACTTAACTTCTTATGCCTTCCTTTTCTTCTCCTAAGACATCCTTTTGTCTTGGTGAACTCTTCTTCTTATCATTGCTTTGCTTGTTCTTTGCTCTAACTTTTGCTTAAGTTGCCTTTACAGGTTTTCAACCCAATGAGCTATTCTTTCCTTTTCATTTTCTATTTAAGCAAAGTAATGCTTGACAGCATCCGCATTAATGGGCTTTACTAACTCTTGACCATCCATGTCAGCTAAGATTAGTGCTCCCCCAGAAAAGGCATGATTGACGACATAAGGTCCCTCATAGGTCGAAGCCCATTTGCCTCTATTATCTTCTTGGTTAGGCAATATTTCCTTGAGTACAAGATCACTAGCACTGAATTCCCGTGGGCAAAGTTTTTTTATCAAAAGCTCTTGCCATTCTCTTTTGGTACAATTGTCCATGACATATTGTAGTAAGCCTTTTCTCTTCAATCATGTTGAGTTGCTTAAATTGGGTTCGTACCCATTCATTTTCTTATAAATCTACCTTTGCCAATACTCTCAAGGATGGTATTTCCATCTCAATGGGTGTGACAGCTTCCATTCCAAAAACAAGGAAGTATGGGGTTACCCCTATGGATGTGCGTACAGTAGCATGATAACCATGTAAAGCATAGGGAAGCATCTCATGCCAATCCTTATAAGTTACTGTCATTTTTTCAATAATCTTCTTAATATTTTTATTGACTGCTTTAACTGCTCTATTCATTTGAGGTCTATATGGGGCTGAATTATGATGCTTGATTTGGAACTTCTTGCAAAAGTTTCTGACTTCTGTTCCATTGAGATTGGGACCATTATCAGTAATGATCCTTTCAGGAATCCCATATCGGCATAAAATATTTGTCTTCATGAATATAAGGAACGTCTTTTGTGTGATGCTGGCAAATGAATTTACTTCTACCCATTTTGTGAAATAGTCAATCGCGACAAGGATGAAGCGATGTCCATTCGAAGCTTTTGGGTTAATTGGACCAATAATGTCAATTCCCCATATTGAGAATGGCCAGGGTGATACCAAATTATGTAATGGGATTGGAGGAGCATTTATCCTATTAGTAGAGATCTAACATTTCTTGACATGCTCAAAGCAATCTTTCTTTATTGTTAACCAGAAGTAGCCACACCTTTGAATCTATTTGGCTACAGTGTGACCATTCGCATGCGTGCCACATATGCCCTTGTATATCTCAACCATGATTTTCTTTGCTTCTTCTAAACTCACATAGGAAAGTAAGGTACCATCATAACCCCTCTTGTACAGAACATCTTTACTGATAAAGAATGTCATAGCCAAACGACGAAGGGTTTTCTTTTCATTCTCAGTCATTCCGGTTGGGTATGATCTCTTAGTGATATAGTCCTTAATATCCTGGAACCAAGGATATTCTTCTTAATCTTCTTCAATATTCAGACAGTATACTAGAAAGCTTCTAGCTTTTACTTGAATGGGTTAGACATGGACTCCACAATTAAGTTGGATTATTGCTGCTAAAGTGGCTAAAATATCAGTGAAATGATTTTTTCTTGAGTCAAGTGATGAAAGCTAACAACCTCAAATTGCTTAATCAAATCTATTAGGAGTTCTTGATAGGGAATCAATTTTTCATCCTTTGTTCTCAATTCTTATGTTACTTGATGAATAATGAGAGCTGAATCACTAAACACCTTTAAATACTATATACCAAGGGTAATAGCTGCTCGAACACCATCAACACAAGCTTCATATTCTGCTATGTTGTTAGTACAATGAAATTCTAATTTGATGGCCACTGCAAATTGTTTTCCTTCTGGTGAAACGATCACTGCTCCTACCCCATTTCCATATATGTTGGCGGCTCTATCAAAATACATTTCTCATTCTTGCTCTTCATCATTTCCTTCATCACAACTTTGTTTTATAGTGCATATAGCTTCATCAGGAAATTAAAAATCTAATGGCTGGTCATCCCTTAAAGGATTATCGGCTAGGTGATCCGCTATCGCACTACCTTTAACTAACTTTTGTATCACATGCTTTATATCATATTCAGATAGTACAACTTGCCATTTAAGTACTCTACCTGCAATATGTGGACTCTCAAAGATGTATTTGAGTGGGTCTACTTGTGAGATTAGCCAAGTAGTGTAGTAAAGCATGTATTGCCTTAGCCTTCTAGTTGCCCATACTAGTCCACAACAAGCTCGCTTAATCATTGGATAACGAGCTTCACAATCATTGAACTTCTTGCTTAAGAAATAAATTGCTCTTTCCTTCTTTCCAGAATCATCATGTTGACCTAGCATTGCTCCCATTGAATGATCTCTTGAATTACCCTTACTTTATCTGGATCTACTTCTATCCCCTTACGACTCATAATGAACCCCAATAACTTCCCAGAAAGAGCTCCAAAGATGCATTTATTTGGATTCAATCTTAGCCGATATTTGCACAATCTCACAAATAGCTTTCTAAGGACTCCAACATGACTCTCATTCTCTGCTGATTTAGCTACCATGTCATCTACATATACTTCAATTTCTTTATGTATCATGTCATGGAATAGTGCTACCATAGCTCATTGATAAGTTGCCCTGGCATTTTTCAAACCAGAAGGCATCACCTGATAATAATAAGTTCCCCATTGGGTTGTAAAGGTTGTTTTCTCTTTATCTCTTTCATGCATAGGGATTTGATTTTACCCTGAATAACCATCCATAAAGGAATAGTGATAGCTTGGAGTAGTATTATCGACCAATACATCAATATGAGGTAGTGGAAAATCATCTTTCAGGCTCACATTATATAAATTATGATAATCAACACACATTCGAATCCGACCATCTTTTTTAGGAATGGGAACAACATTTGCTACCCATTGTGGGTAGGTTACTACCTTCAAGAATCCTGCTTCTAACTGCTTCATTACTTCTTCTTTTATTTACAAGGACACCCCCGTATTCATTCTCCTTAACTTCTGTTTCTTAGGCTCAACCTTAGGGAGTAATGGTATTTTATGGGAAGCAATGCTTGGGTCTAGCCCAAGCATATCTTTATAGGACCACACAAATACATCTATGTATTCTTTGAACAACTCAATCATTTATTTCCTTTCAAGATTATCTACTATTTTGAGCATTTTTTGATCCTCCTCGGTTCCGATATTAATCATCTCAATCACTTCTTTATATGGGCATATTCCCTTATCACTCAATTCAAGCATCTTAGAAAGAGTTTAGATTATGTCTTCATCATCAAACTCACAATCATGCATATCAGTGGCAACAAGTAAATCATCTTTACAGGGTTTATTAACCTCTGGGTGAGAGATGAAATTAGAAGAAATAAAATCCCTGGATGATAGAAATGGATATGGAATGTAATAAAAATAAGGAACAGGAATGAAATGGAAAAAATGTATTGAAGTAGATAGGATGGAATAAAGAGATAGACATGAATGCAACTGAAATTCATTTTCATAAATTACGTGCATCAAAAGTTTGCATTAGAGAATACCTAAGATCTATTACCTGAACATGGGCTCAAAAAGTGGATAATAAAATAGGAACAACATAATTGAAACAATTACTCCAAGCTAATGACATCATTGGCCTCTTCAAACTCCTAATTCGCCAGAACTTTGTTGGAATCATCAATTGCAATTGAGGCACTTGTTCCACATGCTACATCTTTATTAGAAGAGATCAATGGGATAGTTGGTTCACATATCAGCTCAGATGGGCCTGAGAAGGATTCTTTGATGTGTGGAATCTCTAATTTACTGGCCTTTTTTCCTTTCGCCAAACTTGCTTTGTCTTTTATCTGGTCTTCTAGGGTAGGCTCATACCCTAACCCTTGGCAATTACAATTATCCAAAACCTTAATTGGACACGTAATTCCTTGTAAATGAGAGCCTAAACCTTTCCCTAGTATAAACCCACTCTTCGTCATGATTTTAGCCACAATGAAATTGATGTTATGAGTACTGTCACAAATACCCTCAACCTCCAAGCTTTGAAAGGAAACTCCATGATCCTTCTCTGCAGCCTCAATATAAAGGAATGAGCTTAGTTTGCTCACCATGATTTCCTTCTCTCTTTTAATTGCTGTAATTCCCCCATCACTGATGAACTTAACCTTTTGGTGTAGGGTAGAAGGAACAGCCTTAGTAGAATAAATCCATGGCCTTCTTAGCAGCATTGTGTAGCTTGGGTCTATGTTTATGAGTTAGAAATCCACCTTAAACATGCTTGGTCCTATCTCCAAGAAGAGACAAACGGATCCTAATACTTCCCATCTTAATCCATCGAATGCTCTTACCACAATATTGCTTTTGTGTACACTTGAAGCTTCTAGTGATAATGATTCAAATATGGAGAGTGGCAAGACATTTAATGCTGATCCTCTATCAATCAATACTCTTGTGATTATGAACCCTTCATATTTTAAAGTGATATACAAAGCCTTGGTTTGGTGGATAGTAGTTTCTGTAACTTCCTCTTCCGAAAAGGAAATGGTAAAGGAGGCTTTTACAACATTCATCACACTTGCCACCTTCTTAGGCTGCACGAAAGCTTGATTCAACACTTCTTGTAATGCTTGACAATGCACTTCAGAATTTAAAATCAAAAAAAGTATTGAGATACGCACTGGAATTTTCTTCAATTAGTCCACAATGCTGTAATCACTTTGTTTCATAATCTATAGAAACTCATCTTTTAATTTTTCCATTTCTTTAGGATTGTCTTCCTTTGGCCTGTCAACATTTGCATTTTTCTCTCTTACCATTTTCCTAATGTAAGATGGTAAGTATGGTTTTCCACTTCAAGTAACACCCCCTGGGTTTGCTATTTCATTGCTTGTTCCGACAATCAACATCGGGTTTTTGTGGTTCTCCACAATGCTTTGATATCTCCACGGGACTGCTCGATCACTTTCATAGGAAAAGGGATGAGGCGTGCTGATGGTCAATGTTGGTTGTCTTACGTGAGGTGCAAGATCTACAGAGGCTTTATTGATCACAAAAGAGACTACCTGGACTTGCACTTTTGGGCTTGAATTTTTAATGACAAGCTCAATACACTTTTTCTCTACCATGCACACTTTGGTGTCTCCCTTCTTTACAGACACAATCCCTAACACCATCATTTTTCTAACAGCTTCTTTAAACTGTTCACAACTTTGTATGTCATGGCCTATTTTCTCTTGATGGTATTAACAGTATCCAAGCATTTGATCATTGATATTATCTGTGAGGAGCATTTCTTACATATAGTCATACTCCTTTAAGTGAGTATAAAGCTCGTTCATAGGCATCTTGATCCTTGTAGAGCTTTTGAAACACGCATCCTCTTCTTCAATAGCGTTGACTCGTTTTTCATGATTTGGAAGTGGATCAGTAGTAATGGTAAAACTTCCCTCTTCTTTAAGCTGGATATGATTAAAATCAACCAGGTCTAGCATATTCCTTTTAAACGTCACACAGTCTTCTATTAAGTGTCCAGGTGTACTCATGTGGTATTCACAAACAACATTTGGATTATACCATACTAGGTAAGGCGGACTAAGAAGCTTATAAGGTCGTGGACCTAATAATTGGGCTGCCAAAAGTTTATGGTATAATTTAGTATTTGTTAATCCAAAATTAGGCCATGGTCGACTATCCTTGGATTAGATATTTCTCCTCTCTCCATCCTGCCCGTGCTTATTAGGCCTAAATCCAAATTGTTGTTGTCTTTAATTCCTTCCCTCTATTTGATAAGGGACTTAAGAACTGGTAGCTGCTTGTCTTACAGGTTGAATATAGTCCACATTCCCTTCTTTCTTTTTTTAGTCATAGTTTTTTCGTGAACTACTTTCAGCTTGAGAAGTGG